TGATCGTCTTGGGAGGAAGCTCTCACATCATCCGAAGTGTAAAATGTTTTGTCAATTAACTACAGTTGATTTCCTAGGGGAAAAACAATGAACAACAAAGGTTTCTTTTAAAAAATCTATCAAGATGTGTTATAATAATCATTTACGCATCTTCCTTGTTGATCGCTTTTTTCTTTCATGTAAATTAATCGAAAGTGAGAAACATTAATCATCCTATGTTATTGTCTGACTACCTGTCACGGGTTTTCTAAAGATAGAGCTGGAAGATTTTTGTATTGAACATCTTTAACAGAATATTAAGAATCTCACAAGTACATAAATTGGCTGGGTATATTTTCTCCACTGTTTAAGCAGATCACAATGATAAAAACCATATACATTTAAACAAACTCGTCTTTCGATAATATATTGAATGCTAAATTCCAATGTAAATTTCGCGCAAAATAACCATTCGAGCGCAGTAAACGTTATAAATAAAACACGTAAATCGTAAAATAGAAAGAAGCACTTAACTGAATTTGCGTGTTTTTCAACAAATTACGGCGGGTAGTGTGAAAGAGCGAATAAAGAAGATATACGGCCTAGAGATATAAATCAGATTATTCTCTCGCAGCCCACTGTGCTTAAATTAAATGGCTTTGAACGAAAATTACGATGTTTTCCAAATGCTTTTATTTTATTGTTCATTTGGCTGCGGAATTTCGCTAAAAATTGGTGTGAGTAACTAACTCTGTGTGTATGAGCTAATATTTTATTTCATCTAACGCAGCTCTGGTTAATTTATTTATTTTTCATTTATTCTTATGTACACAATACAAACATGTATAAAAAAATACATTAAGTGGGCACAGAGGTGAGTTTAACCCATAATTGAGTTCTCTTCCAGCAAACCTAAGAGTGAAGAGAGGATATCACAACAAGACAGAGTCGTGTGTACTGAGTAAATTTAAGAAAATATAGAGAAATAGAAAATTAAGCTGAATATTTGCCGCAGTTTGTGTGACGCGTTTTATTAATGTTTAATATCTGAGGATCCTGTTTTCCTTTTTGATCTTGTTAAATTGCCAGAACGTTGAGAATAATCATTTGTATTCATGACACACAAGCTGTAGTACGTTACAGTATAATCATATAGTGTTGTATTAATAATTTAGTCGAAACATTTCTGTGACTTTAGATTGAAATAGATAAAGTCAGGAATAATGTATTAACGAGTAACTATTTACTCTGGATACAGGCAGCTCTTGGAATAAAAAGTAAACCCGCCTGTATAGCTCATTGTTCGATTAATATATTGAATTGATTTCGTATAAAAATTAGTTTCACACACAATTCTTTGTGGTGGTCTTTCGCAGTAACACATTATTTTATAAACCATTAACCTCCAAATTTAAACGGCGACCAAATCACGATCCCCTTCATTTTTATTGCTTTATTTCTCGTAATCTTTTATTTGATTGCTCTTTGAGAACCGGTCGTATTATTCACTGAGCGCTTATTTAATATTGAATTAAACATTTGATATATGTCTATGTATAAATGTTAATTTTTATCGTGTTAAATGATTTTTGACATTAGTATTTTATAAACTCATTAGGTGCTTCCGTTACACGTTAAAATATTCAAGATAAAAATCAAATTCCTAAGCAAATAAGTTAACACTGTATTTTATTCAACATCATAACTCAATAGCTTTAAACTTTATCTATTAAATGTATTATGCCACGCTATCCTTCGTCAGAAAAAACTTAAACGTATCATTTGCAGACAAAAAGAATCCATACAATCTCAACGACAAAGGGTGGAAATAAAAGTCCCTTTGGCAACTATAAAGGCGTTCCAGATTCAATGCAATTTCGTCGCGTGTCAGTGTAGCTATTTCGTGTCACATTTCACGGGTCCGCTACTCTGCCCTCACTGGCTAAGGCAAGGCGAGACGGGCTTTATGCGTAACGCTTCTCATTTACAAAGGCCGCTTGCGAACATAGTTGCATTCTTTAACTCTTGACAGTTCCCGACGAAAATCGCTACACAACCCTACTTAGATTTTTACTGCCTCTTTTGTAATGAATAAACTCTTTGTTTTAAGAGGAGCGAGCTCGGCTGTTTCGATTAGCATTTCATTTTCATTGCTTCTAAAGTTATCGTATAAAACGTAATTTATGTTTAACCTTTTTACTACCAACATTTTTAAATGGTTATTTATGAGATCACGATTACAATATTGATCACCTCTTATTTTTTAATAAAATTTATAGATACATGCAGTATAGTGCTGTAACATATATGCATATGTTATGATGTATATTTTGTGTAGTTTTATCCTCCAAACCACGAAAAGTCAGTTTTGAAAACATTTGCCAATAAAGTATCCCACATTAATATATGAAGTTATATGTAAGTAATATGATTCTTATAGGACTATCAATGTATTCAAGATATGCTATGCAAACCGGTCGACCAAAAAAATTTTGCAAATGCTCTATTTCAACACGACTCAGAGCGGCTGCCTCCCTATTTTATAAAATCTATGGCTCTTTTTATATTCCTATTTAGGTAAGAACTTTCCCCCCTGAATAAAAGAGACCGTTTCAAAGCACCGCCTGGTATATTAAAAATATTTTCTTTGCATTTTCTTTGCTCGAAGTTTATTTATTTACGAGCAGTATAGGTACGCGTTTGCGCCGCAATTTTTCTTTAAGAGAGGCCTTTTAATAATTGAATATCTCACGCTAAGTTCAATTTTCTTTATAACATTCAAGTTATTTATCATACAAATGTGACCTATGATTAATCATTATTAATTTTATACGTAGGTCGTAGGTATATGTCAAAAGTGCTCAGCAAAATTTGTCTTTTAGACAAAGGTTTTTCTTTCTAAATGAAAAGTTTAGTTATTTTTTTGTGGTAATAAGAAGTCAAAGTCGTCTTGGATTGTATTCTTTTTTTCATTTCAGTGTTGTCATTTCAATGTCAAAAATATTTTCTACTAATACAAACGTAGTAATGTCTGCCCCTCTTTCTTTAGTAACTAAGGGATTTACTCCAAAGGGTGACGTTATTCCAGCTGTAAAACTTGTATTAACTAAAATACGCATATTAAAGAACATTAAAACCCATCTTTTACAGTTAATTGTAATTGAAACTTGAATTTCGTTTTCATTTATTCCTGTTTTAATTACCGCGGCCCGGGGTGATGCTGAGATTTTATTTTTAATTAATCTTGTTCGAATTTCCGAACGAAAGCACCGGTATGAAAGGCCTGTTTGATTGTTTTGCTATGGGGATTACTTTTTTTAATATGTTTTACAGCTTGCAGGAATTTTGTATTTAATCTACATTTTAAAACAAAGTTTCGTTCTATAGTGTGTACCTTACTAGCTTTTATCCGTGGGCATCGCTAAATTTAATAATATTGATTTTCTTTTTTGATAAAATTAGCCTATGTGCTGTTCCAGACTATATGTATCTAGACAATATACAAATCAGCAAAGCCGTTCTGAAGTAATTTAATACCAAACATCTATACAACCATCATCATTACAAACTTTCCCGTTTAAAAAACTGAAGAAATATGGTCTTCGGAGTGTATCTATAACATTACTTATTATTTTTTATTCATCTAATGCAAAAGTTATATATTGTATCATACTAATGATCTGCTAACAGTAATTAGAATGAGTTTTTTTCAACATCAGATGAGTTATTATATAGTTGCCTAAATTACATTATAATTGTCTTGATACCATCTGAATCGTCCGATTATTTTTTATCTGACATGTACAATACGTACCTCATCCGAAGCGTGAAGTTTGAACTTTTTATTAAGACGTCTAGTTAGTTGATAAGTGGAAATACCGAGGGGCTTCAAGAAATACCAGAGGTATCTTGGAATATAAACAGCTCAAACCCAACAACTACTCAAACACATTAGAGGTTCATTTGAAAAGAAAACGTTTGTGAGACTTAATTTATGATGTACTTGAAATAACAAAGGCATAGGAGTAACATTTTGTATGAATAACGTCAGTTACTGTAATATACGGATTAAACAATTATAACGGATTTGCGTGGAGTTTCTACACATCCCGCATGATGTAAGTTTTTAAGTATAGGCAATAATATATTTGCCTGTAATTCATATTAAGATTCCTATCATGCCGTCATGGTAGTTAATTTATTTAATAGGTTCATCAAACGTCATGTGGCAAGTTTATTTTGACAATGGTATTATACCAAGTTTGAAAGTTTAACAAAAACAAATAAATTAAAAAAGTTCTCGAAACGAACAGAGGGTTGAATGTCTGAAACACGAGCGTTGAAACAGTAGCGCGACATCAAATCGAATTGTCCAAAGTTAATTACGTCGCGTCAGCCCTGAGCAGGGTACCCAAGACCCTTTTGCTGTACGAGATACTTTGCCCGACCCCATACCATCGAGTGCTTCTTAATTATTATTTATAACTCGTTACCGCGCCCGGCATGCCATCGTACTCGAGTCTATTATTATTTTACACTTTGATGCATGCCATCCTTTTAAATAATCTACATTATTGAAATTAATAAAATAACTTACTTTAAATAATGACACCTACAAATCATAAAATTTACTAACAGTTATGATAATTGTTTAAAGGGGACCGATCACATTCAGTTCACTCAAATGACTCCCCTATTTAGTCAACTAAAATATACTTCAAAAACACTTGAAAACCACATTTAATAAGTTTATATGCATATCTAATTAAGTATTATTACTTTCTTAACATTAGACAGCTACTCCATTAGCTTGTCAGGCTTCCAAATTGTTCAAAAAAGGGAGAAGTCTTCTTATTTATTGTGACCCAAAATAATTATAGTATCCTTTTTTGACAACGTCCTTATAAGTCGTAACGCTAATGTATTCTAGCCCATTAGCTGATATGAACATTCTTTGTCGTCACTTATTTCGCATAGCAGAAAATTAATGTTCTGTCTCGGGTAGGTGGTGTATAAACAAGATGGTGGGTGGCTCCGCCCTGGTATTTATTGCTTCTGGCACGCCGCGAGCGTGGCCCATCCACCAGGCTGCCATAAACGCGAGTACTAAAACGTGCCATTTCCCTAAATTATTTTAATGACGTATGTTCCCTCGTTTTAGTGGATTGTAATTCGGTTACACTGTTAGGAATCGCTTCCCGTTCTACAATGGACGAGTCCGTTGCCAAATATTCACAAGTTTGCTAGACTTAGTCTCGATTTGTCACGGGCGACCGTGTGGAAACTAAATTGTTACAGATTTTGGTAACGATATTGTTGGGTGGCACAATAGTGTACGACGATAGGGGACTGTGACCGAACACTGTTTCACTTTTCAAGTCATTAAAGGTATAGGATAATGTGGCGAAACCAATTTCTTTTGCGGCACGTGTTAGTGGTGCGACTACAAATTAGTTTCTGGTACGCTGTAATTCTTCGAACGAGTCCGGTGTCTTAATCGTTCCGGCGCATGCCGAAGTGCTCATTACACTCACGCGGTACCTTCTTTTGTTCCCGTGGGTCCTGAATTGATTTACTCGCTATTGTGTTGCGGACACACCGATGTTGCCACGGCTCACTAGTCTGCACCGATATACCCGTTTGTGAGCATTTTAAACGCTAAACTTGATCTCGCTTTATTGAAATGTAAATTTGACTCGGGGTAATAAAGTTTTTTTCGATATTTCCGCTGCGAGGCGAGTTCGTTTCAAGATAAAACGGCAGCTGGCCTCGCCGACCCCTCGCCTCGCCAGGCAACTAGCAGAACATTGTGCTTGCTGCCGTAAGTTCGGTTGGATTTACCCCTCTGAATTGTGTACATCGCTTCCCTCTGATTCAACTTGTAACGTTCACGCCGTCACCCATAAAGGATTTAATGACAATATGCGAGTCGAAATATTAATATATTTGTGTCGTTATCATTCAATGCGAGTATTGTCTGTGGCATGTATAAGTGGCGCGCGTTGCGTCGATTGTCGATTGCTCTTAGTGGGCGTAAGACTATCGCGCATTTGTCACTCGACTAACAATAAAGCGTTTAATTTTATTTATAGATGCCGCGTGGGTATAATTTAATTGATTATCTGCTTTTATCTCGATGGAGTTATTCTGACATATGACTTCATCATTAAAGATATAATTAAATATTGACGAAATTGCTTAGAAAATAATAGTTGAATGTATATTGTGTGATGTGTAAACAACAAACTCTAATTACGCCTAACTTTACGCTTGATTATTATCAACGGCGCAAATTAATTAAGATAATGTCTATCGAAATGGTTTTGCATAATATTGCATTGTAAGAATGAATGTCATTGTAAGAAACTGAAACAGAAAAAGATTATTACTGAGTATAATAATATCTGTCGATTCCCATAAAATTTTGTTATTTTTCCAGAAGTGCTCTTTGGAACGACATCTCTCGGATTCAAAGGCAGAGTGCTTTAGTTCGCAATTTGTGATGCCATGAACCGTGTGCGGGAGTGAGATGGGTTATACTGTCGCACCGTTCTTATGTCTGGTGCTGAATGTAAATGGCTTCATTTGATTATGTTTTACGCTGTAAACGCTCTTTGAATTTATGCAATCCCAGCGACTTGGTACCGCGGTCGAGACGACAAATTTCACGATTTTCCGGTTAGATCTGTGAGAAAATTATAACATCCGCTACCATATTAACATTTAAAAACAAATTGAAAAAAGTACTGTTTAGCGGAACAAAGAAGTTGCACGGTATGAATGCGAGCTTCATTTTTTTTAAATTGAATGTTGATTTAGAACATTTATCTAAAACCTCATGTTTGATTACCACATACCTACTTACGTGTTAAAACAATATTTTATTGTTTCAACATTTAAATTGCGAAAATTTCACTACGTAATCAATATTCAATACGAGCCACTACACACGTTCCACATGTATTCATTTGATCATATTTCAACACGCTTGCACAAAATGAAGTATCAAAATTATTTGCGCCTACTATAACTTTTAATTACTTCTATGCGGTCGGAATACCGTACCGGTGAGGCCGTTGTTAAATACACGGTATTGTTATCATCAAATTGATTAATTAATCAAGCGGATAACTTATGCCTCATTACCTACGCTTAGTAGACAGTATTTGTTATTTATAAACAGTATATATGTAAACGTATAAATAGGTATACTTTCATATCCTAACTAATCTTCTATAAATAACTTCAAATAAAAATGGCGCACAGAAGCATAATTAGATTTAGAATACTTAGTTTAAATGTAGAAGTGTAGAAAGCTAAAACTTTTAAACAGTACCTATGTGCTAAAAAGTTAGTACTTATTTCGCCCTGTTATGGTACAAAAGGCTATACAACGAAAGTGCAAGTTATACTGGCCAATGAAATAAAACAATACAACTAAAACGTTCGAAATTCGAATGTGATTGATCTAAATGCGAACAAGTTTGTTTTTTTTTTTGTCACATTCATATGTTTGTCCACTCAACTATGATTGGTTGAGTAATATGTTATAATATCCGTGATATATTAAATGATGATTAATGGAGAAGCAAAAAGGTAAAGTACATATGGCACTTTTCGTCCAGTATCAAAAATACTATTACCAAAAATTACTGTTTCCTTGATTAATTAACATCATCTATATTAACCCTGGCGAGACCTTAGTTAATGCATATTATTAAAATATATCATATAAATTAAATTTGTAAGAAACCGGTTTGGCAACTGATGTGTCGTTCTGTAATTTTATGACCTGGTAAGGAAGACCATAATTAACTCGACTCTTGATTCGAAATTGATTTATTTTTTTATGTATTTGTTTATAAAGTTTTAAAGTTATTTCTTAATGATTATGGCAGCAATGGACGATGACGTGATCAAACAAATTATGTACCTCTTAATTTTTTTTACTTTAAAATACACTTCGAAGGTAAAAAAATATTTATTGCATATGTAAACCACCATAACAAACCACAACAATATGAAATGATGCTTGTTCTTAAGCGCATTGAGAACAGGGCGGATTAGAATACTTTTATGTTAGCAATAGTTCTTATAAAAGATTCTAGCTAGGGAAAATTAGCTTTATGAAAGTGTTTTTTCTCCATAAAACTCAAAAATTGTATGAAATTTCGAAATGATGATGCACATCTGTCAATAATTAAAAAAAATAACATAAGGAAAATAATTTTTTCTGTATTGGTTTTTGATCATAGCCAAAATAAACTTACATATTATCTCCTAAGCTATCATTTGTTAAACTTTCAAATTGGCAGGCAGACCAGCTAGTAATTTATTACCACAACTTATCATAAAGAGTCGAAAAGCTGGCAACTGAAAAAATAACTTGTCAGAACATTTATTCCAATTCTAATTAAAGACAGCCAACAATTCGAGTGTTGTAAAAAGAACTTTCGAGGATTCATAATAGAGGTCATAGTGAATAAACAAATGTGTGTAATTCGACGCGGCCCTTTATGAAGGAGTGAAGCGACTTTCCGTATACAACGAAATACAGAGTACATTACGGTACATTCTTAATATATAAGAATGTTTTTGTTCTTTTTAGTTTTGACTTACCTGTTTGTCTAGTGGTTAGTGACCCTGACTGCTAAGCCGGAGGTCGTGGGTTCGATTCCCACCCAGAACAAATATTGTGTGATGAACACGATTATTTCTTCTATGTCCGTGTGTAATTTATCTATAGTATGCATGTATTTAGAATTATATGTATAGGATTTATAGAATTTATCAGCAGTCTGGTACAGGCTCGCCTAGTTTGGGATCAGACTGCCGTACCGTATGCGTTGTACGTAAATTATCAAGAATCAATGGAAAAAAACTTTAAATACATACAGATTTTTGGTGCAGGCATAAAGTAAATTGAGTAAAGTTTAATCAAACAATCTGATCAATGGTTTCGGAACGTTCAGAGAACAAACTTACAAACATTGATTTTTATTTACATAAATAAACGATATCCCATTTTTAAAGTTGTGTAGTTTAATACTTAGAAAATAAAAGTATTTAATAAATCAAATATATTTCTGACACTTGTCAACAGTAAAATAGTTTATCGCCGAGAAAGATTCAATAAGTAGAACAAACTAATGCGTTAATTAAAGTTCGCATAAAATTGTCCTATCTGTCATCGTCAATCTTAATAAAAAAAAATTATAAAGGCTAAATGTAAATAAGTATCCTATTTATTCTATCAAGTTTAATCTCAAGGCTATGTTATTATTTTAGCATTTTTTCATTAGGCAATAACCGCTCGCCACAGATAAAATTTACATTTTGGATATTGAGCTTTGGCGATAGTAATTGGTTTAGCAACTTGGTTGTTTAATTATTTTAGGTTTAGGTTTAATAAATGTGTTACTATAACGTTGAACATTTGTGGAAAAGAAGCAAATTATTTTCAAACCTCAAATGTCCTTAGAGAGATTACTAATATGGGTGAGACGTCTTATCCTTGTGTTGCCTCCGATCCATAGGACATATGGGTGCGCCATCTCGGCTTCTTTGAGCTATTGCAGACAAAGTCCCCAAAGTCCCATTTTCTTTATTCCTCAGGGACTTCCTTCCTAGGGTATACCCGAATTAAACTCGTGTATTTAATCGTTTTTATTCTGTCATACCATTTCACCGTGAGAAGATGACCCGTGGGGGTTTAAAAAGAACTAAAATTGATATAGGTACTGCAGATTTGAAGATATACAAGTTATTTTTACTCGATCTAATAAGGTTTCAGTACGTATTTTCTTTCTTTCTTCTTTCTTTCTTACCTTATTGGTTTTTTTTTTACGTATCTGTACCTGTATTTGTACACTGTACCTGTTTTAATCAATACAAAAGTATAATAAATTAAATTATATTATTCTCATAAACGACCTCATATTAAAATTACAACTCGTTGGTATTAAATTTATTTGGCTTTCATATTCAATACTGTGTTTAAATTAATTTTATCAATCAACTAGAGCCTCGGCCCCAATTTGTACGAGTTGAACAATTAATTAACGGTAATAAATAGATTTATATTCATCTGAAATCACGAATTTATCCAAACATTTCAAATAGTATTCTTTAAAATACGAAATGGTGGCGAATATTACACACATCCTGGATGCACACTAGTCGGAAGGTTCGCAGTATTTCTTTTATAATATGTATGAATGAACTAAGATTAAACTGTTATTTAATATTACAGTGAAACAAAATACCGCAACACAGTCAGACACACTTTCACATTTATAATATTAGTCTGGATGTATGGTCGTACCGTTTTAAAACTTGCATTCTGTAAGTTTAAAATAGATCTACTATTTAACTAAAAGGTGGTCGATGAACAACAGGGTATTTAAACCCAATTTTGTTACACAAATTTGATCCTTAATAAATCTGGGATACGCATACATGTGCCTATAATGGATTAAGAGTTTTAACATGTTAACATGTCTGCGGTTGGCAACTTCCAATATTATTAAATACAATGTAACGTAAATTAATGATTTAAAATTTTGTACCATGTATGTTGCGTGATCAATTATTTATCTTTAATTAAATCATTTTGTAATAAAATCTCTTAATATGAACATGACAGTGCAATTTTGTTATATTAATTATGAGTGGTTGAAAAGTACAACATCAAACAATGTATGCGACGAGCTCAGCTAGTAATGTATTAGAATGATAGAAGTTCATAGATGTGTATTTGGTTTCAGGAAACTGCAGAAGTGTGCGTGGGGACGTCGGTTGGCACGATCACGGAGCCAGATTGCCTCGGTCCCTGCGAGCCTGGTACTTCGGTCACGCTGGAGGGCATCGTGTGGCACGAGACGGAAGGTGGTGAGTTGTTACTAGCGCACGAACGCCACGCACTGTAGAGCTCGCCTACAACTGCACGCTTATGCACGCCTAGTATATGTTCAAGCTTTTGCAATTCATCCATAACACATTATTCTGCCAACCTAAGAATAATATAGATAGCCTTATTAGACCGAAAATAACATACTAATGTAGGTAATATAACGTAACTATTTTTGTAACATTATTAATAAGGTCGTTAGGCGTGACTTTGTCGTTAGTTTTTGGCTCATCAAAGAGATGTTTTAATTACTGATATGACTGATTGTAATTGTGATAAGTTGGATTTTTTCACCGTGAATGCGACACGAAGGTGTTCGACTAAAATATTGGTTACGGGGACATTACATAGCTACTAACTCTTCAGCATCTACTAAATATTTTCACTAATCTAAGTGTAATCAAATTTGATTTACTTTTAGTGTTTTGACACTTTGCCAAGCCATTAGTCACAATCCAAACTTAAAAAAATGCATATGCTTCTACTTATTTATAAATAATTGAGTGTCTGATTGCTAAACAAGAAGTAGGTATATTTTAACCAACAAGAAGTGTAACCATACAACGTAATTCGTAAGTTATTTTAGTGCCTAATTCCGATAATGAGTGTTAGGCACTAATCTTATTGTAATCCCACCATCAAAGCAGCTTACACTTTATGACCATTTAGGTCTTCTCAGAACAATATAGCTATTATACCGAGCCGGGCTCGCACACTCAGAATTTAATACGCGCAATTTATCAACTTGCTCGTATATTATTCATATCGTATCTGTACTTGTTGTAATTCGTCTTAAACTATATAAAAATACTCGTAACATCTTCATATATTTTTTTATAAGTTATCATGATGTAAATAGAAATATTATGTAGTTATGAAAGGTGTAACATTGTAGCAGTTTTAAACCGGTTATTAGATATTCAAAAAGAGAAGCTGGTATGACTAAACATATCCTATCCTCTTACTTTCTATGTTTTAAACTCCAAATTTTACTCTAATAAAATTACGTGAGTGAATTGAAATCTCTATTAATTAATAAATATAAAAATAGCTCAATGTTTTTTTTCTATATATGGAAAAACGTTATTTTTCAATGCCCCTTAAAATATGCCGTTATAAATTATGTAGATGCAACGATATAAAAATAACGGTAAGGGAAAAATTAGTTATTAACTCTTGTTTTTGTATGCAAAGCGTCCTTCATAACAAATTAATTTACGAATAAGAATTTACGATGCCTAACTGAAATCCTTGGGGATTTTATATTATTATTAAGACCTCAAAAGGACGCTTTATACGGGTTTTTTTACCTTTATCCTCTATCCTCAGTAAGTATTCTCGACATTATTTGATTAGAGGTATTTCGTAGCTTTTCTGTTTCGTTTTAATAAAAAAAGTACTAAACTTGGTATAGTTTATGTGACTATTATTAAACTTTAGTTATATCATCGTGTTAGTCACGAATTTTTGGTGTCTAAGAATTTCATTATTACAAGGTTACAATAAGCCATTTTGTACCCAAATACCGAGAAACTGAGTTTTTAGTGCCAGTAATAAATTAAGTTCGATATTGAGAAGGGTCCTAAATGTTTAAATTGTTGATACAAATTAAATTTTACGAGATATAGGCTTTAATTATTTCATATCACAGTTTTCAGATAGATTAGACTTTTTGGTCAGATTTTTGATTCAGTCTTAATACTTAAAATTCAAAGAACGGCTCGATTAATTTTTATAATCTTTGATTTGTTAGATTTATCTCTGCCCCGATACAAGAATAATTATTACATAAAACCTTAAATGGTTGATGGAAACCTACGAACTACAGCTGCTAACTGTAAATAAAATTCTTCTGTTTATTCATTGTGTATGAAACTAATCATTAAGTTGGAAAAGAAAAGAAATGTTACAGAAATTACCCTTCAACAAATCAGCCAAATTCATTATGAACCACCCGAATCTTGAATGGCAGAAGATGCCTAAGGCATTAAATCCATCGTATATGAAGTTTAAAAATAAAATAATTGAATAAACATGGTCAGTTAAAACCATAGTTTAAGTAGATAATATTTAAAGCCTTCACATAATTAAGAAGCTCTAACAGAGGAGCTGTATCATAATTTATTCACGACACCTGCCCCCGGTGATTAAGGAATGTAATGTAACCCTTTTTTGTCCCTCTTTATTCGTATTTCATGAATAACTCTTATTATTAACTCGTCCTTTTATAGGACTGCTCAAAAAGGTGTGTAATGTTTTTTAGAGTTCATACATGATCCTGTATCACTACAAAATGTGAGTAAAAAAGAGATGTGGATCAATCCATAGTTTTTTTTTTGCTTATGGTTTTGTTTAATCATTTTCAAAACTGAAAATAAATTTGTACAATCAGGTAAAGGATTTTTTTATTCTAATTAGGATCGCCAGAATAAGGAAGCGGGGTCTGGAGCATAATTGGCTATTCACGAGTCCAAGATACGGTCTTGGACATTTCTTGGCATGACACCTGGCTGTGTGCCAGTTTACCAACTGAATCGTATTTAAGTAAAGATCTTAGTTCTGCTGCAATTGTTATAATCAAGACATGAGGATGAATTCTTAGTAATAGAACTCTTTTTTACTTTACAATCGATTACCTTAAGGCATATTACATTTGAACAATATTTTTTGAAATATGGAAACGTTCTTTTCAGCCGCGTCAATAAATCTGTTATTACAGTCATGAGAAGAAACGAGGATTGAATGCCATTTTTGACATAAAGAAACAGGCTGAAAATAGATTTAGGTAGGCGAAATTTTGTTTCTATAAGTCATCAGTAAATTGAACACACAACTTAAATGAAAACAATAAATTCTAGTTTTATACCTTTAAGTTATTATTATGCTCCTAATAAGGTAATGACCCGAAATTTAATACCTGCTATAGACGGTAAGTACTCAATTTTACTTCAGTAACAAAAATTCTTAATGCACATGTAAGGATTCAGTAATCGGATTTAATATTGATGCCGTTAACGTGTAAACGAAGCCGTTACATAATTATTTTTGTTACCCAGACCAGTGTTGCCACATTTGAAACGTTTTTTATGGTCGACGGTCGATGTAGAATCAGATTTACACAAAGAGTAATATTAATTTAAAAAAGATTTAAATAAGTTCGTTCGGTTGTTACTTTACGCACTTGGCAGTTGGTAGTTGCTTTCCCTGTTATTGTTGGCAATAACCTTAAGAGTTATCTGCAGTTTTTTTTTATCAAATTCATCATTTTTTCTTATCTTTATAAGTCTTAATGACAAAGTAGGTAATTAACATTACCACCCTCTCATTTTTTGCTCAAGCACAAGTCCGTCATTCTCTTTGAACCATGAAATAGACAAAACTAATACAAACTAATGACATGTTTTAATTCATTTGATTGTATATCTTATATGTATCTATAAAAGAAGAAACTGACAGATTAATTCACTGACTGATCGATTAACGTACAAAATTAAAATGGGTAAAAAATAAAAATAAAAGAAGAAAAAAGAAAAAAAAATAAAGAAAAAATATAATAATAAATACGCATAAAAAACTAAGGAGAGGCCTATGTCCAGCAGTGGACTAGTATAGGCTGTTGATGTGATAAAATTTTGCACAAATGTTCCTTAAAAAGGTTTCTTTTTAAGTTCACCCCTAAGGGTGCGAAATGGGGGTTGTAAATTTTTATATGAAACTTAGTTAATTTTTCATTAGCGTTTACAAACTCACAGTAAAGTAAGTAAGTAGTACAGTCTTTATTAAAAGAAATAAGAAACGGTGTTACTAATTTTTTAACTCTACCCTTTAAAAGTTTGTATGGGGGTCTATTTTTACAAGACACTAAGACACTATTTTAACAAGACTTTTCCGACACTTCTTGCTATGAACTATATGCATCGCCGCGAACTTCGTTCCGACCGGGGGTCAATAGTCCCCTCACGCCGTTTTTTTTTAACTTATCGATTCCAAACTCAATATAATTACTACGATGTCTGATGTCGACCACCAAGCGGACCAAGTCGCGGGCAAAAGCTACTATATATGTATATACTACAGTCATGTCAAAGTACAGTGCTCAGTCTGTGCTTCTCCAAGTCTGGCTCGCCTTTGAATAGCTTTTTATAGCTCACAATCCTGTACTTGCTATTAAAATATTCACGGCGCTCATAAAACTGAGGAGGCAATGAGTCTCCAAATAATTATTGAGCGCTTATTAGCTGGAGATACCATCGTGGAATGTTTAATATATACAAGCACCGAGCTGATATGAGATCTTAACGTCTTTGATACTCTCCTGGTAGTTAAATACAAAATAAGCATGAGTTAATAAATTACAAAATGGTTTTATAATCTCATTAAAATTAGGAGTACATATTTCTATTTTATATTCCATTGACTTTGTTCAGACTTTTGGAACAACGTTCCTTATTGCGCGTTACACGCTCTGAGCGGAATGGAACGAGACCGAAAAATGTGTAACAAGATTTTTTTCCGACACTTCTTGCTATAGTTACAGCCGTGTATGAATTACCTATATACATAGCTCTCCCGCGCATCGAAAGACTCACCGGCTATCTTCTCTTCATCATTTAAACTCGGCGCTGTTAGCATTGCGCAGTCTTCAAATATTTAAATACTAGCAATCTTTTGAGCAGTTGTTTGATTAGTTCACAAGATGTTATTTATGTACTCATAATGAGAGGGGCTGTGTAAAGCTGATCCTGTGGATCCGGTCGTTCATCATTATTTTAAAAATAAAAACAGATTACAGTAATATGAGAGCATACGTTTCGGACGCCATTAGAGGCAGCGTGCGAAACACAATGCCGCACCCCCGTAGCTGCTCATAATTATTATAAAACACGATAATAAATCACCATCTGCCGGCTTCTGTTGCCACTTTCCAAATTTATCCGATGGACGCTCGAGGTTGGGGAGGTAGAGCGGATCGGGGGAAGGC